TGATGTGGAACACGGCGTTCGTGGTGGTGTCGGTGGCGATGCTGATATGGACAGACCATGAGCACCCAAACACGCCGATCCGGCTGTGGATCTGTGGATATGCGCTGCAGTGTTTCGTGCATGTGGTGTTGGTGTGGGTTGAGTACCAGAGAAGGAATAATATTGCTCGGAGGATCAGTAGAAGAAACCAGGACGCCCAGCAGAACCAGCACCAGGTCGAAATCGATGCAAATGATACCGACGATGAAGAAGCAGCAGCAGCAGCTAGGGATTTGGCGATTTCCACGCGCTCCAGGTTTCTTCTAATTTGCTTTTGGATATAGTTGTTATGGTTCATGGAGTTCAAAGTGGACACTGAAACCCAGTAATCTTGATGAATGGGTTGCTCTCTCACAATATAAATTGAGCTTAGCTGAGTCCTATGTATCACATAAGAGGTGGATAGTAGTGGTGGTTGGATATTTAGAGTACGTTATAACCATGTTTAGTGACTAATTTAAGCCCATAATCGAATTCCACTTGTCCTTGTATGCCATCCGACTGAGATCTTTACTGCATAGTTCAAGATGGGATATTGACATCTTTGCTTGTTTGGAAGTTTTAGAGTTGGGGAATGACAGTCGGAAACGTTTTGGATTTCATAGTTATGATTCTGGCATTATTCATATCATCACTTATTTTTTGTTTTTTTGTTTGTAAAAATCCAACTTAACTCAACTCATCAAAGCTTTAATCTTGAAGTTGCTCATATTTTTGCTCTCTACATTTCATTTTGTGTGGGGATGATGCTTGCAAAATATGTTTGTAAATTTGACCAAACTGTTATGTGACTACTTTCTATGGTATTTCCAGTCCCCAGCTTTATCTGCAATTAGAGTTTTCATGTGCTGCCTTCGTACCTGTTTGTGGAAGGTCTATAAATTACTGACTGACTGCATTTTATATGTCCTAGTCTCTCTAAACGATGCGAAACAGTGAATACAATGGCATCATTTCTCTGGTGGATAGTTGGCTTTTATTGGGTAGTCTCTGGCGGTGAAGTTCTTCTGCAAAATGCTCCACGTTTGTACTGGTATTTCTATAACCAATCTATTAAGAAATATTCCTTCATCTCAAATTATGTGCATGCATGCGTGTCTTCTTTCTTTCCTTTTTTATAATATAGTAATTTAATTTGTTTAAAACAAGCAACTTTTAGGAATTTTAAAAAGTTTCACCATAAGGGAGTTATGGCATTATAATGTTAGAGATGAATACAAAAGCTGGGCCAGGGATCACATCTAAAACTAAAACCTTACTTTAAGTTTCTATAGCGCTAAAACTGTAATGACTGTCAGCTCATTTTAACACAAGAGTCACCCTCAGCTGTCATCTCTTTGTGTGTCTATAGACTATGAACGGCCTAATTATCTAAAAAGTTTGTAACTTCTAGAATAAAAGAAAAATATTTTATTCTGAATGTGTGCAGGTTGGCTGTGGTTTTTCTGGCATTTGATGTCTTCTTTGCCATCTTTTGTGTTGTTCTGGCATGTTTGATTGGAGTTGCTCTTTGTTGCTGTTTGCCATGCATCATTGCAATTCTTTATGCGGTTGCTGGACAGGTTTGAAGTGATAACCTATACCTTTGATTCAAAAATTTATCGACAAAATTAAGAAATTGTAACTGCATATTCTTGACTTGATTATTTTTTTGTTGGTGTGACAATGTAGGAAGGTGCATCTGAAGCAGATCTCAGTATTCTTCCAAAATACAGATTTCGATCGAGCAGTGAGGAAAAATCTAGTGTTGGAGCAGGGAAAATGATTCCAGTAGAAACAAGCAGTGGGTACTTAGCAATTGAGCGTATACTTTTACCTGAGGATGCGGTATGCTTTGGCATCACATTATCATGAATTGCATTTATATTTCAGTATATTACTCCCAACTCAATCTGTTTATTACAGTTGATTATAAAATTTTATTTTAATAAGAAAAACCCCATTTATCCTCCATATTATGCCAGAGAGTTGGTACTTAGGAGGGTCAGTTGGTAAATGGGTATCTTTTACAGGCCAAATATTAAAGTGATTTGTGCTTTTATGGTATTTTGGAAATTTATGAAGAATTTTTATGCTCTAAAGATGTATGGTTTTGGCTCTCTTTCCAGGAATGTTGTATATGTCTCAGCCCCTATGAGGATGGTACAGAGCTTCACACTCTTCCCTGTAATCATCATTTCCACGCTACTTGCATTGTGAAATGGCTTAAAATGAATGCAACATGTCCTCTCTGCAAGTACAACATTCTCAAGGGAAATGAACCGGTTTGAAGGATCAACAGGACATTGCAAGTGGTTGGTTCTGCACAGAGTGGCGTATGTACAGAAATGTCAAGGCATAAAGAGCAAAGATTTTAAATATTTATTGATATTGAATTACAGCATAGTTCACTAGACCTCATTTTGTCTGTTTTCCGGCCATTTGGAGTCGTATTGATTCTTTCTGTTTTCGTCTGTGCTGTTTCATGCCTGTGCAAAGATGGAGAAAAAGATACAGGCTTCAACATCTTAATGTGTTACCTAGGGTTCCTTTCTTAGCAAGGAAAACGATTGTTTTGCATATTTATTACGTATTTCTGTTGATATGAGGTTGCTAAGAATGTGTGGTGTAACTCGGTTATTCGGGCAATAGTCTTAGTTATATGAACTAATAACATCGTATTGTTGAACGCCAGGCTCACTGCGTTGACTACCAGGAGTTGGAGTTTGACCTAGTTTTTAACACAGAAAAAAAGGAGTATAAATTGATGAACCAAGCTTTGATTATCTGGTTTCTAATTAACTCTTTCACAGGGGATGTCCTACCGGGAAATTTTTTGCCTTGATCAAGAACAAAGTGTTACACAATTTGAAGGCATACAACCTTACATCATTTCATCAAGCCAATTTTCAAATACAAGCAGTTACCGGGGTAAATCTGCTTCTGTAATATGCGCACTTTTAGGTTGAAAATTGAAAGTTGAAACCATATGCCGGTCTACTTCTGTAATCTACTTCTATATTTCCGCATCAGAATTTCTGGATCGTTCCTACATCACAATGACTTCTAGAGGACCAAGACATTATCCTTTTATATAATTCCTGATAGCCGGCGAACAAAATCAGAATGCAGTGCATGGCTACCCTGCGTGACATGCCGCACAAACAAACAATGGACTTAATATCTCATAACCATTTTGTTCTAAGCTCTTCTTAGACATGAATATAAGACAAACGTATATACCTTGTATGCCACTATATGCGCCACTGGAAACCCTTGACTGCCAAACCTTGCAAACAGGGAAGCGTCGCCTATAAGATCTAAGACCTTATGGCGACAAGGTTCATCTGGAAAACGCAGTGGTGGGTTCAACCAACCTTTACTAGCACTGCAAAAGAAAAATAGGATTAAGTGTACTATAAGTGTTTTCTCCCAAATCAAGTTGACATGATATATTCCCCACACACTTCAACAAATTCTCTGCCTGAACTCGTTGTTTTAACTTGCATAAAATCATATCCAACTGGCAATTGTCACCTCAGTCCACCCAATTCGCATTTGATCAACCCATGTCATCTCCTAACTAGTTCAACTTAACATAAATGGAGCGTCTCACCTACAAACAAGTGCATTTTCTAATCCACCCCCTTTTATGAGTCCTGCATTCTGCATTCGCTCCACCTGTTAGAACATGGAGTCAAGCATTACCATAATAAATTCAACAATATATGACTAAGCTATAACAGAAAACAGAAAGTAATTTCAAGACTACTAATGGAGAACTGTTTAGTATTGACCTCCTCGTAAATGCAAAAGGTTCTTGACAAAGCAATGTGCTTGGAATAGAAAGAGTTATCCAAGGAGGTCACAGAAAACCACTGGCAGCCAATAGCCTGCACCTGCAGAAAGTGTCAAACAAGCAAGCCCAAAACTTAGCCTATGAATTCTCACATTTGGACAAAGAAGTAGCGAGAAAAACAAAATAATCTATAGATATTTGATAGCCATTCCTCTCACTAAGTAACCAATCTCTTTCAAGTAAGGATACTTAATAACAACACTTTTTTGTTTCACATTCCAAAACCATGCTGTCAGTAAAGACAATTCCCAATCCAGAAAAATGTGTACCTGTCGAAAGTCGATCCCGTAAGTGATACAAATTTCTGGTGATGGAAATGCAGCAACAAAAGAATCATTCCTCCACACATGCACTGGTTCATTCACATATGCTGCCATCTTCTCACAACAGTTGCCACAACGATCTGTTGCCTCTTTTAAACCAACTTGTTCTATAGCCTCTACCCACTCACTTGCTGAACCATCAAAAATAGGAACCTGCATGACTTGATTTTGGGCATTATTACTTTTCCTATGTCATATTCAAGAATCAGTAGTTCTCTATGTTCTAAATTCAGATTGCCTCAACTTTCTTAGAAGTGGCAATTACACAGTTCAAGCGCCCCCAATAACCTACTATGTGTAATTTCCCCCCTGATATGTCTCCTAATGAAATCAAGAGCAAGTCCTCCTCAAGACAAATCGAAAATTCACAAATATATGGTACCAACCTCAAGATCGCAATCTCCGGGGTCTGAGTTCTTTATCTCAATCCGGCAATTATCAACCTCCATAGCTTCCAAAGCCGAAAGCAAGTGCTCAACCGTTCGAATTTTGACCCCATCTTTACAGAGAGTGGTGCACAGAGGCGATTCCTCAGCAAACTCAATCGAAGCTCGTATCACATTGGGCTGAAAATCAAAGTACCTTCCTTTGCTGACAAGCTCTGGCCACAATTTCACCGTGGAGACCTTTCCACTGTGCAAGCCTTTCCCCTTCCGCTCTATGCATCCCGCTATGGTTTGCTGAAGCCTACCAGTCTGTAATCAAACAATACAAATCACATTCAGACATTAAAAATTGCTTAGAAAATCAACCGGAAAATGACTTGAGGAAAAGGGAGGGAGATGTAAACTTATGCATGTATTTACAGAGACAGGGAGTGTGCTTACGGATTTCCAGACGATGGATTTAGATGACTTGAATGCGTTCAAGGCACTGGAAACTGTCATAGCTTACTCGATTCCGGTGAGTACCAATACGTTGTCGTCTTGCGTCTCAATCTAGGAAAGTGTTGAAGACAAATAAGAACGGGGAGACCACATTTTGGCGGGACTATGAGAAGCTAGGGCTTTCTATGGTTTGCCTAACTGGAGAGAGGCTGTTCTGTGTTCTTTCTTTTGGGGCAAAAAGGTTGTTTTGTGTGTTTGTTTTTTGGGGCGAAAAGGGAAACTATTTTCATTATTAAAAAAAGGCTTATTTACTGTAGCACTCATGAAACTTCGGTCAAATCTCATTTCCCCCCCCCCCCAAACTTAAAATGATCTACTTTCATCTCTTGACCGAAGTTTGGTGACTCACTTTGCCCCCTGACGTCAACTCCATCTAAAAGTCTGTTAACTTTGATGACGTGGCAGAGGTGTTTTTGTAATTTCGTACACATGGATCATACACCAATTAGAAGAGTGATGTGGCAAATAGAGCCTACCTCCACATAAAAAAAATAATTAAATATTCTAATAATAAAAAATAACTAAAAATTAAAT